CTCTGAGTTCTGTGAATTCTGAGCCCCTCGACCCAGTGCCCCATAACAGACACCATGTATGTTCACTTAAATCAAGAGTTCTACTTTGACCCACTGTGAGTGGAAAAGAATGTTTCCCTTGGATTCTGGTCCTTGACACAACCAAGTCATATTAAGTCAGTGATACTGTTTCTTGATCTTTTAATCAATAAGATACCATGGACTTGGACAAGTTATTTATCCTCTCTGAGCCTTTGTGTTCTAATGTAGAAGTAGGTAATATTAGTCATTCTTGCTTAGGATGATCAAAAAGCATAATGTATATAAAAGTCCTTTAACATATGGGAAAGCATTATAGCATATAAAGAAGCAAGAACAAACCACCACATCATACCTTTCTTTATATTCTTGATTGGGGAAAAAAGGAGACATAAAAGCTAAAATGTTGGAAGGAGTGAAAAGGTGTGTGCATCCTGAAACCAAAGGGACATCCTGGGGCCATGCTGGCTCTAGTGGGATTCATCCCATCTGGTCCAAAGTGCTCACTTTCCTGTACCAGTCCCCAGCATGACCACATTTCATCGTTCAGAGTGGACCCTCTCCTGTCCACCAAGCACTGAGTGCTATTCCATTTGTTCCTCTGAAAATCCTAACGAGACCTCTCCCTCCCCAGCTGGTGTCTTTCATTCCAATCATTAATGAACAGGGAAGGGCTACAGAAATGGGCTTTTCACTGGGTGAATTATAAAAGGAAGACTGGACCTGTCACTTTTTGGTCATGACTTCCAACTCATCAAAATTAAGTGGAGACAAGATTCTAAACCATAGCATCTTTAGAGCTGAAAGTGACCTCCGAAGTCATCTCATTCAACAGATTATGAGACTCAGATCCCATGGTTATAGAGTCAGTCTATGGGGCAGGAAGGACTAGAACCCAAACCTTAATTCCCAGGTCAGGGTTCCCCCCACCAACCAAGTTCTGGTACTAAAACTATGAACACTGTACTGAGCACTAAGTACTTACCCTAAGACTATAAGCATAGTATTGCCCTAAAACCGCTACTACTACTAATTCCAAGCCTGTAGAAATGAGCCAACCAGCAGAATCATGTGAGTCTAAAATCTAAAGAGTGATACTGAAAACAAGCCCTCTCTCCCGGTCCAGAGAGAAGCATCTGGCTGAGAGAAGGAGGGGAGAGCGGAGGGCTGTGATAATGTTGAAAGAAGGTGCTCGGTAAGAGCAAGGTCTCTTCTGCAGGGAAAAGGAGAACAGAGGAGGGAGAGAAATTAAAAATGTGCAGGACAGGGAAGAAGACAACGGAAGCTGAGGCGTCAGCAGTCTCTGAAAGCGACTCTTCCTTCTCCGGGACTAATATTAACACTTGAATCTCTGCTTCCAAGCCTGTCGGCACACAGTCACCAGGCATCTACCCGAATGTAAACCAGACCAGGTGACAACCACCCCTCAGAAATGTCCTTCCCCCCACAGGGTGGGTTAGGAGCCACCGTGAGGTACCCCCACTGCACTTGGTACAGATCTCCATTATTGCTTGGACACAAGCTACTCCATAACTGTGTCCTGCCACCAGACTGCGAGTGCTAGAAGGCAGGGCCATGTCTAACTGCACCTGGATGTAGGGGTTTACTCAGCCGCTGACGAGGCATGAACACGTGTCTTCCCTCAGCCGCCACCTCTCCTAGGAGTTCCCTTCAGGATGGCTCCATCCCCACTTCAGGCTTGACTTGGGGGTGCCCATGCTCTCCTAGCCCCTCATGTGGCTCTCGCAGCTCTGATTGGAAGACCTTCTGCTTCCCAAAGTCACCAGAAAACCGGGCACCTGGGTGGCTCGGTGGGTTAAAGCCTCTGACTTCGGCTCAGGTCATGATTCCAGGATCCTAGGATCCAGCCCCGAATCGGGCTCTCTGCTCAGCAGGTATCCTGCTTCCTCCTCTCTCTCTCTCTCTCTCTCTCTCTCTCTGCCTACTTGTGATCTCTGTCAAACAAATAAAAATCTTCAAAATCACCAGAAAACTCACTTGAGTCTAGACTGACGGCTCTGTGAGGGGAAGGACTGGGTCTTTGCTCTCTCTTTGCCCTTAGCACCTATCCTAACACTTGGGAAGCACAGGAATTTAGTATGTGCTCGTGGAAGGGATGAATAAATGAATGACTAAAACCGAAAGGCTAACAGAGCAAGCAACCATCATCACAGAGAGACCCAAGAGTCTCCAGGACAACGCAGGGCCTGCTTCCCGCCTGCGAGCGTGTTTGTGGAGTGGACACAGCACCCGCGTTCCTCACAGCCTCTGCTGCCAGCAAGGAGGAGATGCCATCCATCCGCATTCAGGAACAAAGACCGAGTGAACCCTCCTTCAGGTCCTACTGCTGGATGGCACCTGTTGCTAAAATAGCAGCTGAGAAGCGTCGTGTTTGTTCAAAACAACAATTTCGTACAGGAAGCAGCATCACAATGACAATAAGAAATCATGAGGCTAAATATACAGCGGAATTTCGCAATGAAAGACAAGGAAGGAGCTGCCTGAGGCTGAGGGAAAAAACTGAAGTGTTGATTAGAAATTGCTCAGCCTGCTTAAGAGAGACAAACAGGGGAGGGGGAGGGAGGAGAAAGAGAAAGTGGGGGAGGAGAAAGGGAGGGAGAAGGAGAATGAATGTGTGCCCCCGCCCCTGACTCATTTTTAATCTGTCCTTCCCTTTCTCCCTCCCTCTGTACCACCCCCTCAAGAGAGAATCCATTGATTGGGCCGGACTTAAATGTCTTACCTTTTCCTCTCGTGGTTTTTCTGCGAACGAACGAGGAGCCTGAATCCATCTCCTCCGTGACCGCTCCTCTCCCCCACCCCCCAGCCGCCATTGTTAGCTTCTCCACCTTGCTGAGGCTGAGAGGCAAGGGCTTGCGGGACTGATGGTGTGAGGGGGAAGCCGGAGCTGGGATCGGGGGTGCCTGACGTGCTCAGAAGGATCTTGAAAGCCAGCCTCACGTGCAGAGCAGAGAAGCCCCGGTGTCTGACAGCTGAGATGGCCCTAACGAGGACCTGTTGCCGGCCACCAGGCAGGGGGCGGCTTCTCCATGTACCAAGCAAAGAAGGCACGGACAGAGCAGCAACTCCCCTCAAAATAAACACAAAACAGAACTCCCTACGACCAAGAAAACCCAGAGAGGCAGCTTCGAAGAGTGCAAATGGGACGGGCCTGGGGTTCGGGGAACTGGGGTCGAGTCCCTGTCCCACTGCACATCTGCTGTGTGCCCGTCACCTCCCTGGGCCTCCATTTCTAGAAAATGAGGGCTGGCCTAGATGGCCTGTGGCCCCTTCCTCATAAAATGTTGTCAGCCATCTAGCAGGGCTCTGTGTTCCGCTTCTGCTTCCACTCCCTGCAAATACCTCAAGTGCTTTTTCTGGGCACACTCTGGGGTGTCTGGAAGAGCATCTCTGACTTAGAGCCAGGACGCCCAGCTTAGCTCAGGGAGGCGGCGACACAGGTTTCAGGCCCGAGTTCCCCCCTAGTATGGCAACACAGAAGTAGAGGCAAATCAAGGACATTCAGAATCTGTGAGGGTGGAAGTGGAAGGCACTGGGAGGCCAGGGGAGTGGGGAGACATGGATCAGCCAAACCCTGAAATTAGAGATGATTCATATTTGAATAATGTGGGAGGGATGAACTCAGAGCAGCCAAGAGAAGAGGCTAACTCTGCAGACAAGGCCTGCCCACCCCCCTCCCCCAAACCTCAAGCCAGCACAGAGCAGAGCCAGTGCTAGGGTCCTTCATTTGGAACAGGAAAAAAAATGGGGCCATCAATAATCTTATTCTGAAGCTAAGGGAAATAGAGTTTTTGCTTTGCTTCTTAAATACGTTCTACCCTCTTTCAATGACTACCTTAGATGTTTCGAAGTTCCTACTGACTTGATTTTTCCAAATCTTCTGATTGGTGCCCCCAGAGGGGACAGAACTGCATTTTTGGGTGCTGTTTTCTGCTTTCTCTCCTGCCCTGCATGGCCCTCACCCTGTCCTCTCAACCCTTCTGATCCCTTCTCCATCCCTCGGTCTCCACCTTGCTGGGAATCTTTGTCTCTTCCAAACTCCGGGAACCTTCCTGCCCGACCTCACCAGCATCCAAGCTCGGTCACTTCGTGAATGTCTCAGGGCCAGCCACCCTGCCTGGCCACCGGCCCCTCGACCTCGCAGGACCCTGGCGTCAGGCAACAAGAACCTTTCCAGACCTCAGGTGGGTGGGAAGAAAGTTCCCCAAAGGGAGGGAGAACCATGGAGTATGGAGCTAGCGGAAGCGACTCTGGTGCCGGGAGCAGCTCTCCCTTCTGAGTGTCTCTGCGGTTCCTCCTTCCTGGGGGAGGAAGGTTCTGCTCCGCTGTGGGACCACTCCTCCCACGGGCACCGAGCGAGCGAGAGCAGGGCCCGAAACTCCACAACCAATCAGCCCCGGTCCCCATCTTGCTCCTCATCCCGCCCCACCGCAGCCCCGGAGCCCCGGGGAGAGCGCCGCGGGGTCTCCCGCTTCTCCGGGGAAGGAATCGGGGAGACACGCTCCTCCGCCCCTCACCTCCAGCAAACCAGTGCTCTTAATCAATGTCTCCTCCGAGCTTTCTTTTTCCTTTTCTTTTTTTGTTTTTGTTTTTTTTGTTTTTTTCTTTTTTCCCCTAACCAGGCTCTTCCCAGGGCCCACAGCACCACAAAGTCAGGGTGAGACCGAGAAGAACCGTTGTGTGGAAGAGGACATGCCCGAGCTCTCCCGTGAGGAGTCAAACACCTGCCTCTCGGCCGTCTCACTTGTGTCGGGGTCCTCCCCCGCCTCCTCCATCATTCTCGCACACACACACGCACACGCGCGCGCGCACACACACATACACACACGGCCCCTTCCCCCACTCACCGCCGACCTGTGAGCAGCTGGAAGCCCAGCCCCGGGGACCCGGGGGTGGGGTGGGAACGCGGCCCCGAGGGAACGCGCGCAAAGTTGCTCGCCGGGGTCGGGAAGGACGCCCACCTGTTAGCCAGAAGACGGCGGTCCACGCCAGCACGACCCCGTCCATGTTCCCCAACTTCCCATGCGGCTGGAGCAGCGGGCGAAGCGGGGGCCGGCGGCAGCGCGCGGCTCGGGGTAACCGGGCGGCCGCGGCAGCGGCGGGGATGCGGCCGCGCCGCGCGAGCGGGCCCCCGGCGTCCCCCGGCGCCGCCGCCCGCCGGGCCCGCCTCGCCGCTCGCCCGGCGCGCGGGGCCGCGGGCTCCCCGGCTCGGCTCGGCTCGGCTCGGCTCCCGGCTGCGGCGCGGCTCCCGGCTTCGGCGCGGCTCCCCGGCGCGGCTCCCGCACGCCCAGGCAGCGAGCGCGGCGCGGGGTGAGCGCGACGCGGGGCGAGCGCCTCCCGGCCGCAGAGCCCGCCGCGCGGGGGAGCTCGGCCGCCGCCTCCTCCTCCCCGCCGCCCGCCGCCCGCCGCCCCGGGGCTTCCGAAGTTTCTGGGTCACGTGCCGGCCCCGAGGTCGCGCCTGGGAACAAAGTACGCCGCAGCGGAGGGTGCGGGGGAGGCGGCCGAGCGGGCTGGGGGGGCCGGGGGCTGCTCCCAGGGAGGCCAGCGTCCCGGAACCCAGGGAGTGGGAGCTCTGGCAGGGGGAGCGGTGAACGCAGGTGGCTGTGGCCAGCCTGAACCGGGACAGGGACAGACAGACCCAGAGGGGGACCTGTGGGGACTTGGCATAAATTGTCCCCGGACTTCGCCTAGCAGGTCCTCTGGGCAAAGGTGTTGGCTTCTGCTGGGCCCCCCATGCCCCCGGCTGCTTCCCTTCTTGTCAATGCAAGGACACCAGAGGCTCAGAGGTAGGAGGGAGACCAGCGCTGTTACCTTCTGTGGAAACACTGTGAGGCATAGTGAGGGCATGTGGCTCTTTAACAGAAAATATGTAAAACTCGAATGAAATAAACAAGTCTATCACTTACGTGTGTCCGACTCTTAATCACAGATCGGCCTTTTGGCTAAGATCCCATGCATGTGGCCAACACTTTACAGTGTGCACGGTGCATGCACATGGATTGTTTCCCTTTGTTTTTTTTATTTTTAATTTTTTAAATTTCTTTTTAGTGTACTAGAATTCATTGTTTATGCACCACACCCAGTGCTCCATGCAATACGTGCCTTCCTTAATCCCCACCACCAGGCTGGCCCAACTTCCCACCCCTCTGCCCCTTCAAAGTCCTCAGATTGTTTTTCAGAGTCTATAGTCTCTCATGGTTCTCCTCCCCCTTCCAATTTCCCTCAACTCCCTTCTCCTCTCCATCTCCTTATGTCCTCCGTGTTGTTCCTTATGCTCCACAAGTAAGTGAAACCATATGATAATTGACTCTCTCTCTGCTTGACTTATTTCACGCAGCATAATCTCCCAGTCCCATCCATGTTGCTACAAAAGTTGGGTATTCATCCTTTCTGATGGAGGCATCATACTCCATAGTGTATATGGACCTCATCTTCCTTATCCATTCGTCCGTTGAAGGACATCTTGGTTCTTTCCACAGTTTGGTGACCATTGCTGCTATGAACATTGGGGTACAGATGGCCCTTCTTTCACTACATCTATATCTTTGGGGGTAAATACCCAGTAGTGCACTTGCAGGGTCATAGGGAAGCTCTATTTTTAATTTCTTAAGGAATCTCTACACTGTTCTCCAAAGTGGCTGCACCAACTTGCATTCCCACCAACAGTGTAAGAGGGCTCCCCTTTCTCCACAACCTCTCCAACACACATTGTTCCCTGTCTTGTTAATTTTGGCCATTCTAACTGGTGTAAGGTGGTATCTCAATGTAGTTTTGGTTTGAATCTCCGTGATAGCTAGTGATGATGAACATTTTTTCATGTGTCTGTTAGCCATTTGTATGTCTTCATTGGAGAAGTGTCTGTTCATGTCTTCCGCCCATTTTTTGACATGATTATCTGCTTTGTATGTGTTAAGTTTGAGAAGTTCTTTATAGATCCTGGATATCAGCCTTTTGTCTGTACCATCATTTGTCTGTACCGTCTGAACCGTCTTCTCCCATTCCATGGGTTGCCTCTTTGTTTTGTTGACTGTTTCCTTGGCTGTGCAGAAGATTTTGATCTTGATGAAGTCCTAAAAGTTCATTTTCGTTTTTGTTTCCTTTGCCTTTGGAGACATATCTTGAAAGAAGTTGCTGTGGCTGATATCGAAGAGGTTACTGCCTATGCTCTCCTCTAGGATTCTGATGGATTCCTGCCTCATGTTGAGGTCTTTTATCCATTTCGAGTTTATCTTTGTGTATGGTGTAAGAGAATGGTCGAGTTTCATTCTTCTACATATAGCTGTCCAGTTTTCCCAGCACCATTTATTGAAGAGCTTGTTTCCATTTTTTTTAAGATTTTATTTATTTATTTGACAGACAGAGATCACAAGTGGGCAGAGAGGCAGGCAGAGAGAGAGGAGGAAGCAGGCTCCCCACCAGGCAGAGAGCCTGATGCGGGGCTCGATCCCAGGACCCTGGGACCACGACCTGAGCCGAAGGCAGAGGCATAACCCACTGAGCCACCCAGGCGCCCCGCTTGTTTCCATTTTTAAAAGCATCTGTCACATGTATGTAGGAAAGGAGTCGGAACGGACACATTAAGAGACGAGTGCGCAGAACCTTGGGCTTTGGTTGACAAGCCTGTCTTAAGCATCTACTAGGTACTAAGAACCAAGGCTACAATGTAAATGAAGCAGACCTCCTGCCCTTCGAGAGCTTCATCTTGTCCAGGAGAGGGAGGAAGTTTAGGCCATTAAATACATGTTGGTAGTGAAATGGAGCAAAGGTGATAATCGAGACGTAGAGAAAGTACCCTCAGAACACAATGGAAGGAGCGGTCTAGGGATGGGGTGCTGCACCACAAGAAAGAAATGGTAACATCTTCCGTGGCATTTGTAGCCTGGGGAAGATTTGGACTGTACAGGGATTGGCGGTGGAAAGGGGGCAGGATCGGGAATTCTGGAGAGAGAAAAGAAAGGAGACAAGGCAGAAAGGTGTAAAATTGTCTCAGAAACAGAGTAGTTCTAGGTGTGAGGAGAGTTCCTGGAGAGAAAGACTACACACTTGAGACCGAATTTATATGTGAAACAGAGATGAGAGGTGACCATTAGAAATGGCGAGAAAAGACTCTGGACGCCGATCTTTTACGACTGCTTGACATCTGAATTCCCCTCTTATCGAGACAGGGAAACTAAAAGGATGGATGAAGGACTGCATTTTTGCTCTTTTTCCTGCCTTTATTCTTGCTAAGACCCACATCCCCACCTTACACATGTCTTACAGTACAGATAGTGTCTGTCCTCCTTGTACAGGTCAAGGAGTTAATGATTTCTTTGGAGACTTCTTGTGCCATATTTCACATCTATGGAGTGACTGGGTGTGGTTGTCATGTAGACCACTAACTCCAGACATCTTGATGCCAAGACTTCTGCTCTGGGGCATAAGTAACTTATGGAGGACATCTAAGCACTAATCCTGTTTTGACTGGTTCCTGGATGTATGAGAAGACATGCACACCAGACCACAACCCTCAATAAAATATTCAGACCCCAAGCAAAAACAAGACTCATTCTCCTTTTCCTTTCCGAGTCCCTCAGATGCTCTGTCAGTATCTACTCTCTCTGTCATCAGTAAACCCTGTTCTCATTTCCTCTCCACTCATGTTTGATTTCTATCGTATCCTGCACAAAGCCAAGTACCCTCTTGGCTCGTCCTGTGGGACCCCCTCTGGGTCCTCAGACTCAGCCAGCCTACATCATTATTTTTTAGAAACTTCCAACCGTGGAGGCCACAGAATCTAGAACAACCTCCCCAAACACCCCAGCTGGGGTACTGGCCCAGGCCACAGGCATGGCCAGGGACCCTCTCACTCTGGGGCACCCAGTGTTCGGAAGCGGCTGGGACAGAGGTCAGGCCACCAGATTGCTCTGAGGTGCGATTTTGGCTGTGGTCTTGCATGTACAGATCTCTCTGTGTTCCAGCCCATTTTTCTGCACCTGGTTCTCCAGCCTTCCTGGCATTTCTGTGGGCCACCCAATGTCCTTTCATAAATTCCCTCTCTGTGTATTTTGGCCAGAGATGATTTCTGATACTTGCAATTAAGAACCCTAAATAATATGCTTTGTGAGAGAGATTTGGAGGACTCTCTCCTTTCATAAAGAAAAAAAATAAAATTAAAATAGAAAATAAGAGTAAAGGAGGTACCAAACATTCCCTATTTGGTTCTCAGCACAGTCCTAGGTGTTTCACAAGCCTTAATTAACTTCTCTAAGATTAGGTAGCCAGTAAATGACAGAGGTAGGATTTGAAACGACATCTTTTGATGCTAACGCATACGCCCTTACACCATGAAAGGACCACCTAGACCAGAGAGTTGATGGGACGGCGCATTTGTATTATGCTCTGCCATTTATTGTATGCGTGCATGTGACTGTGTGTGCATGGGCAGGCGCACATAATGCCCAAAAGTGTGAGCCGTGTTTAGTGTCTAAGCCCACAGAACAACAGTCTTTTATGCAACCCTTGGACAACTTTAGAGAGTTGAGAAATTGGGAACAGGAGAGGGACTCAGCAAAGAGAACCTGCAAGGGTACGGGAAGTGGAAAGTGAGTGCCCGCTGAAGAAGTGAGCTTTGGATGTGTGCTCTAAGTATGCGTCTGTGTGCACGTCAACGTGGTTTCAAGAGACTGGGGGAGGAACTTGTGCTAGAGTGAGTCATAGAACCCCGGGACCTTGTCCACCAACCTGGGCATTTGTTTTCTGTGTATCGCTCTGCATGTCTACCTTCCAGCTGGAGAGGAGCGGTTGGTCTAGCCTGCATCTTCTGGAGTGGCTAGGGCTCCCAGCCATCGCTAAGGAGGTGCCAAACCAGAAATCACAGTGCGTGTCCCTCCCAAATGCACGTTACTACCGAGCTGATGGAAGGTTAAGAGAAACTTTGAGGGTACACCTAAGGATTCAAAACACGCAGCCTGAGGGATGGTAATAGAAAAAAGGCAGAGCGATGGTATTATTTTCCTGTAGGGTTGATGGTAGAGGTACCAGTACGACATCAGAATCCTGGTGTTCGTCCAAGTGTGGTTTTTGAACTT